CCCCGCTGGCCTCGTTTGGCCCTGCTTCCGCCCCGCCAAAAGCGCCTCAGCTTCGACCCATCTTGTCTATGGCTCTGGCCGAATGGGCGCAGACCCAGAGGCTTGGAAAAAGAAGTGCCGTGAGCAGCAGCAGCAGCAGCAGCAGCAGCAGCAGCAGCAGCAGCAGGTGCTGCTGCTGCTGCTGCTGCTGCAGCAGGTGCAAGAGTTTGCGGTGTTTCGGTGGCTCGCAGCTGCAGTGTTTGTCAGCTTTCGTTTGTTTGATTTTCTGCTGCTGCACTTTTGTTCAAGTTTCTTGAATTATATCTTGAATAATAAAAAAGTTTAATAATAAATAAAGATTAATAATAAATAAAGTTTAATAATAAAGTTTAATAATAAATAAAGTTTAATAATAAATAAAGTTTAATAATAATTTCAATAAAGCAAATAAAGGAAATTCGAAGTCAAAAATTTGCATCTTTTGTTTTCAAATTCTTTTTGCAGATTCCGATCTAATGGCCTGCGAAACGCCTTTCTCTCATTTCTTTTCCTGACTTAAACAAATAAATTAAATTTATTTATTTATTTATTTATTTATTTATTTATTTATTTATTTATTTATTTATTTATTTATTTATTTATTTATTTGTTTGTTTGCTTGTTTGTTTGTTTGAAGCCTCGAGAGCCGTGAAAGACGCGGTGTTCGGACAGTGGGTGGGGGGCGGCTGCACGGCCTTCACGGCGAACAGTTCGGGTGTACGTACACTCCAAGTTGCTTCCAAAAGCAAATGTTGGGAAACTCTTTTTGACTTTTCTGCTTCTGACGAAGCTGTTGCTTCAAACCCTTCCAACTGGGACTCCATTTGGCCCACGCTCGACAGCTCCGCCTCCGCTTCAGGTGACTGCAGCAGCAGCAGCAGCTGCTGCTGCAGCAGCAGCTGCAGCAGCAGCAGGTGCAGCAGCAGCAGCAGGTGCAGCAGCAGCAGCTAGGGGGCCACGTTGTGCATGCGCTGCGCGCTTAAATAAAATAAAAATATTCTTAAGAATTTTTTGATTTGCATATTTAGTTAATTTGGGTTGAAAAGTGGGGAATTAATTTGCTGCTGCTGTTGCTGCTCAGCAGCTTCCCGGGTGCAATTTGTGTGCGTTTTTCTTGTTTTTTTTGCTGCTCCTCTCCCGCTGCTGCTGCTGTGCTGCTGCTGCTGCTGCTGCTGCTGCTGCTGCTGCTGCTGGTCTTCTTTTCGCCTTTTTTCGTGTGTTTGGGCTTTCTCCGGGGGTTTAGGGCCTAGGGTTTAGGGTTTAGGGTTTAGGGTTTGGTCCTTGTACTTGGCTGCGCAACAGGTAACAACTGGGTTATTGCTGGAGGCGTTGTGGGGGGCCTAATTTTGCTGGCAGCAGCAGCAGCAGGTGGTATTTTCTACGCAAAGTATGTCTCAAACCCTAAACCCTAAACCCTAAACCCTAAACCCTAAACCCTAAACCCTAAACCCTAAACCCTAAACCCTAAACCCTAAACCCTAAACCCTAAACCCTAAACCCTAAACCCTAAACCCTAAACCCTAAGCTGACCACTGCCCTAAACCCTAAACCCTAAACCCTAAACCCTAAACCCTAAACCCTAAACCCTAAACCCTAAACCCTAAATTAAACCCTAAACCCTAAACCCTAAACCCTAAACCCTAAACCCTAGAGCACCTTGAAGCGGGGCAAACCGAGAACGCCAGCCCCAATTCAACAAAACCCTAAACCCCAAACCGTAAACCCTAACCCTAAACCCTAAACCCTAAACCCTAAACCCTAAACCCTAGTGCGCATTTGCTGCTGGCGTGCCTCAGAAAACCCTCGAGCCAGGCCCAAGATGGCCACGTGGTAAAAGAGCCTGGCAGCGGCGGAGGGGCAGGAAGAACTCCTTCGGAGGCCAACGTCAGTTTGGAAGAGTCTTTCTGGAGAGGTTTGCACAACCCTAAACCCTAAACCCTAAACCCTAAACCCTAAACCCTAGCTCGCCCTCAATCCCGCTGCGCTGGGCTTTAGGCGTGAAACCAACCCGAGGGCTAAACCCTGGACCCTCGCAGCTTCGCTCTTTAACCGAAACCCCGAGCTCTAAACCCTAAACCCTAAACCCTAAACCCTAAACCCTAGACCTGCTTTTCGTCCTGTACCTAGTGAATGCTTAGCTCTACCCCTGCCTCTTTGTCTGTGGGACTTTATGTTTAGTTTGGTCTTAACGTTTAGATGAATTGATTTTAACTTCAAAAGGAATTGAATTTAACATTTAAATGAATTGAATTTGAAGTAAGTGAAAAGAAAATACACATTTGTGGGGCGTTCGGGTGTACGTACAGGTGACGGGGAAGGCCTCATAGACGCGAATTACGACCAGCAGTAGAGTTTTTTCTTTTTCGAAAAGAAAGAAAAGACTTTGGAAAGAAATAAAAGACTTTTCTTGAAAAGAAAGAAAAGATAAAAAGAAATGAAGTGAAAGCTGCGTGCAGTTGCGTCTGAGTGGGTAGAGGCCCGCTGGGGGCGAGGTGTACGTACACCCCAAAGGGAATCCCTGATTAGAGTTTCTTTTCCACTTTTCCACAAGTATTTCTTCTTGTGACGGAGCCAAACTTTTCAGCTTTAAGGCCAGGCCATTTGTAAAGATTTATTGCGATTAATTGAGGCTTTTGCATGCAAAAAAGCCCCAAATTTGCCATTTAAATGCGGCTATTTGCATGCAAAAAGCCCCAAACGCATGACTTTATTGGCTAAAGAGCTTTGCGGCCAATTAAATAGGACTATTTGCATGCAAAAAGCCCCAAACGCGTGCCCTCTGTTGCTGACGGGATTTTGTTGCCAATTAGCTTTAAACCCTAAACCCTAAACCCTAAACCCTAGAGCAGGACTATCTGCATGCAAGAAGGCCCCAAGTGCCCAGCGCATGCATTTTGTCTTCTGGCTGAGAGGCATTTCTCGAATTGCAAACAGATCTGCGAATTTAGTCAAGTTCAATTATTTAGAATTAAAAAAAAATAAAACTTAGAAAACTTTTATTCAGCTTTGGAGAGCTGGTGGCCGACAGGCTGGAGGTGTACATACACCTGGGCTCTGGGCGAACTGGCGGAGCCTCTTTTGCACCAAATAGGATCAAAATAATGCAAATAAAGTTCAAAGAAACAAACAAAACACTAATAATGCATTAAAAATCAAATTAAAACACAGATAATGCAAAAAAGCGGACTTTAAACGGGAAATTTGATGCAGTGTTCCCGTACGTGGCTGTACAGCTGGGCTGGGCACTGCATGCAGCAACTGTAGAGAGGAAAATGAATGAAATGGCATTTCTTGGAAGGAGAAATTGGACAAAATGCATTTGTTTTGGGGGAAAATGCGTTTATTTACCTCGGAAATGGATTGAAATGCATTTATTTTTTAAAAATGGATTAAAATGGAGTTATTTTTGTGAAAATTGGGTTAAAATGCATTTATTTTGTGCAAGTAAACGAAGAAATGGTGAAGAGGCTGCGGGAGAGGCGCTGGAGTGGCTTGTTCGGGCAAGCGGTGTCGGCGCTGGGCATTCAAGTTTCGCGGCGAGCGGAAAGCGGGGCTTTTTGTTGCATTTTTTTGTTTTAAAAAGCGAAAATAAATTTAATTTTAGTTTAAATTAATCGGGATATTGTGGGGGCGTTTATTTAGTTGAAATGCGCGGCGAAGGCGAAGGCGGAGGAGGCGCATGCAGCGGAGTCGGCTCTGCTGCGATCTTGCGCGCCGCAAACTTCGGCTTTAAGTGCCGATTTTGCGAATTTGGAAGTTCAAATAAATCGAAATTAGCAAAAGATTTCAAAAAAGAATTCAAAAAAGAATTCAAAAAGAATTCAACTGGGAGTTGAGAGTTCGTCGCTTGGCAGTCGGCGAGGACTCGGCTGGCTGTTGCAGGGTGTGGTGGTGTACGTACACCGCAGCGGGGTGTTGGCGTCTGTTGTCGGCAGCCGGCGGATTTTGGTATTTTTTGGCCGGAAGAGTTGAAAAAAGAGTTATTTTGATTGAAATATTTGAAAATCTTTCCAAATTTTCTCTTTTTTGAAGCCAAGTCCTCTCTCGGGGGTCTCAAAGCGGCGTTCTTCTTCGGCGTCGTTGTGGTCCGGTGGTCCGATCTCGGGCGCGCCGTTGCCGGGCGTTGGGTCATTTTGCGTCTTTTTCTGCACTTTCAAGCCTCAAATTGGAATTAAAAGCTCCCTTTTGCTTAATATTCTGCATTAAACAAACTCCGCCGGCTCCTGACCGCTCAAAAAGCGGTTCCGGGCTCGTTTCTCCTGCCCCGCTCGAAATGCCGCCGCGAAACTAGCCCAACTGCACCATGGGGCTGCTGCTGGGCCCCAAGGGCTGGCGGCGGGCCCCCGGGGAGGCCCGGGGGGGCTGCTGCTGGACTTTGGCGTTCAACTGGCGGCGGCGGCGCAGCGGCTGGCGGCTGGGGCTGTTCTTTGACTTATTAGCTGCTGCTGCGCTGCTGGGGAATCTGCTGAACTTGCTGCTGTACGCGTTGATCTCTTCGCGGCGGTTCTTCACCAACTACCGCTGCGGCGAAGCCGCCCTTAACTTCATAGCAGCAGCTTTTATCTCTTTAATGGCTGTCACGGGCGCAGCAGGGCTCTGCGGGTTGCTGCTGGCGCGGCTGCTGCGGCTGTTCAACAACTTCCCGCGGGCGGAGTTTGCTGCTGCTGCTGCTGCTGCTGCTGCTGCTGGCCGCTGCGCAGCAAAACTCGGCTGCCTCGTCAAGTGGCTGCCCACGGCCGTGGCCTTTTGCTTCCTCGCCTGGGCCGCCATTTTGGCCCTCAGCACTTTTTGGCTTTTCATTTTCCCCCACGACTGGTGCAGCCGCCGCTGGGCCTTTGCCGGCGTTGCTGCTGTTACTAACTGCAGGCTTTGGTTCAGGGGAGAAGCCAAGTGCATCGACGCGCGTCAGCTGCTGCTGCTGCTGCTGCTGCTGCTGCTGCTGCTGCTGCTGCTGCTGGGGGTGCGGGGTGCTGCTGCTGCTGCTGCTGCTGCTGCTGCTGCTGCTGCTGCTTGTTAGAGGAGAAGGAGCGTCTGGACAGTTCGATGGTGAACGTGTGCAACGACGGAGAAGAGTTGGCGAGTTTGAACTTTTTTTGGTTTAGTCCGAAAGAAGAAGGCGGGAGTTGTTCAGTGGGAGACGTGTCAGTGTGCATGGCTTACAAGAACTTGTTTTCGACTCTTGCTGCAGCAGCAGCAGCAGAAGTGGACTGGAGCAGCAGCGCGCTGGCTGCATGCAGGGGCCCTGCTGCAGCAGGACAGCCCCCAGAGGCCTTTATGCTTTCTTCAGATGACTCCAGTGATCTTTACAGATATCTTTTGGTCTTTTGTGTTGGCTGGAATATAACTTTTTTGACTTTGACTCTTTTTTACTTTTACGTCAAGTACAGCAGCAAAATGGACTCCGTCTTTTACCTCCCCAAAAAGCCCAAAGAAAACTTTCTCCTCAAAGTCTTCAGGCCCTTCTCGCCCTTCAGCAGGTGAACCAACAACAGACTCAAACGGCCCCAAGAGGTCCTTTAAAAGGGCCTTTTAAGGGGGCCTTTTAAGGGCCCCAAGAGGCTATTTTAAGGGCCCCAAGAGGTTCTTTAAAAGGGCCTTTTAAGGGCCCCAAGAGGTTGTTTCAAGGGCCCCAAGAGGGTATTCAAAGGGCCCCAAGAGGTTCTTTAAGGGGCCTTTTAAGGGGGCCTTTTAAGGTCCCCAAGAGGTTATTTTAAGGGCCCCAAGAGAATGTTTCAAGGGCCCCAAGGGGTTGTTTAAAGGGCCCCAAGAGGTTCTTTAAGGGGGCCTTTTAAGGGCCCCAAGAGGTTGTTTCAAGGGCCCCAAGAGGGTATTTAAAGGGCCCCAAGAGGTTGTTTAAAGGGCCCCAAGGGGGTATTTCAAGGGCCCCAAGGAGGTCTTTTAAGGGGGCCTTTTAAGGGCCCCAAGGGGGTCTTTCAAGGGCCCCAAGAGGTTGTTTAAAGGGCCACTAGGGGTTATTTCAAGGGCCCCAAGAGGTTGTTTAAAGGGCCCTTAAAAGACGCCCCAAGGGGGTCTTTTGAGGGCCCCAAGGGGTTATTGAAAGGGCCCCAAGGAGGTCTTTTAAGGTCCCCAAGAGGTTATTTAAAGGGCCCCAAGAGGTTGTTTAAAGGGCCCCAAGGGGGTCTTTTAAGGGCCCCAAGGGGTTATTGAAAGGGCCCCAAGGGGGTCTTTTAAGCGCCCCAAGAAGGTCTTATAAAAGGGCGCCAAGTGAGTCTCTAAAGGGCCCCACGAAGGTCTCTAAAGGGCCCCAAGGGGGTCTTATAAAAGGGCCCCAAGGGGGTCTTTAAAGGGCCCCAAGGGGGCCTTTAAAGGGCCCCAAGGGGGGCCCCTGTGACTGCATGCAGGGCTGTAGAAGTGCAGGCTGAGTGCTTATTGGGAATTCGGAGAAGAAAATAAAAAGAAAAGAAGCTGCTGGGCCTCCAGGTGCATGCAGAACTGGAAAAGAATTGAAATCAAATTCTAAATTGCAAAATTTCGCCGGCCCCAGCCGCTGCTGCAGCCCCCGCTGCACTGCAGCTGGGGTGTACGTACACCCCAAGCCTCGCACTGCGCGCTGCGGAAAGCTGAGGTGTACGTACACCCCAGCTTGCGGGCTGCGGGCCACGCCCGTGCGAAGTTGTTCTCCACTTTTATTAATTCGCATTTTATTTGTTCGAATTATTCGAAAACTCCGCAGCAGCAGACGCAGCGCTTTGCTGCTGCTGCGGTGTACGTACACCCGGCGCGCATGCACCCCAGCCGCCGGCCCGGCGCTGCCGCCGCCTTTTCGCAAAACTAAATCTAAACAAAAGAACCTCAAATGCAAACTCTGCATGCATGCAAGTGCATGCAGAGTTTGGCCCCGCTCGCGGCTTCGGGGGCCCCCAGGGGGGCCCCCTGGGGCCCCCCGGGGCCCCCGGGGGCCCCTACTCGCCGCAGCAAGCAGCAAAAGCTGCCAAGGCAGTACCCAGGGCCCCCGCCTGCAGCAGTGTCTCTACACTCTCCGGAATAGCAGGGCTGGGGGCCCCCCTGCTGCTGCCCCTGGCCAAGAGGGCCCCCATCGCGGCCCTTGTGGCCCGCAGCAGCTCCGAAAAGGAGCACGGGGGGCCCCCCAGGGGCCCCCCAGAGGGGCCCCCAGAGGGGCCCCCCAGGGGGGCCCCCCGGGGGGCCCCCAGGGGGGCCCCCAACTCGCAAAAGGCGAAGTCCAGGCCGCCGGTGTGGGGCCGGGCCCTGGCGACGCAGGGGCCCCCCGCGGCGCTGGGGTGTACGTACACCCCAGAGCTGCGGCACTGCCAGCCGCGACACTCAAAAGATTTGGACTTCAAATAAATGCTGCTGCTCGGGAGGCCCCTGCTGCCCAGCCAGGCCTGGACTTCCCTCACCAGGTACACCACCACGGCCTGCAGCAGCAGCAGCAGCAGCAGCAGCAGCAGCAGCAACAGCAGCAGCAGCAGCAGGTCTTTTTCTTTGCTTCAAACGGCCTCTAAGCCTCTACTCTGCCTCCAACTGCTGCTGCCTCTGCTCCCAATCCCCCAAACGCCACAAAGACACCTCTGGGGCCCACCTTGGGGTACACCGGGAAGCCCTCGGGGCCCCCGGGGCCCCTGGGGCCCCCGGGGCCCCCGGGGCCCCCGGGGCCCCCGGGGCCCCGGCGGGTGGGCCACAAGTAAAGGGCCTCGACTTCCACGAGAGGGAACTGCAGCAAAGCTGCCAGCACGAAGATTTCGTGCAAGTCCGTAGACCGCGGGAGAAAGAGGGAGACGTTGGGGGCCACGCTGCAGCGCAGCAGCAGCAGCAGCAGCAGCAGCAGCAGCAGCAGCAGCAGCAGCGGCGGCAGCGGCGAAGGGGCTCGGTGGGTCACGCGGTGCGGAGGCGCAGGAAACGAAAGCAACTCCAGCAGCAGCAGCAGCAGCAGCAGCAGCAGCAGCAGCAGCAGCAGCAGCAGCAGCAGCAGCAGCAGCAGCAGCAGCAGCAGCAG